TTCTTTGGATGCCCCTTTGCAAGGGACTGCTGGAGCCTATTGAACTTGACAGTGCAAGCGCAGGGGAGCCAGCAGACATCTTGGAAAGTTTTAAATTGCAGATGATCTCTCCTTTCTTCATGAACTCAATAATCCTTATGGGATGGACAATTTGGACCGCTAGGAATGATCTCATCTTCAAAGGGCTGCAACCAAGTTTTCAGTCTAGTTTGAGTACTTTCCAAAAAGAAATTCGTCTGCTCATTTTCAGGGCAAAGCAAAGCTCTCTTCACTCCTTTGAATCAGGGTGCCTGAGTCTGTTGTAATTGCAGTTCTTTTCCTTATTTTCTTTATTTCTTTCTTTGTTTCTTGAACCCTATTGTAACTTGCAGACCTCCGGATCTGTTCTTTTACTTCTATTAAAAATCTCTGTAGAAGCTACGGCTCCTCTAGTTTCCTTAAAAAAAAAGTCATCCAGGCTGCAGCCGCCACATGAGCGCCGGAGCCGCGTGCATGGGGGTGGAGCAAGGGCGGTGCCGGGCTGCCGGGCCTTTAGATGCAGGCTCGTGACCACACGGAAGCATCTGGAACCAGCATCCATCCGAGGTCACGAGTCCATCGGCCTGCTACACCTAGGCCACGTTTAGTGGTGCCTGATTCGGCGCCGTCCGAATTGGTAGAAGTGTAGCACCAGCTATAGTATATTTTGCTTTTATTTTGTGAACCCAAGACGAAAAACTGCTACTCGCCGACTTAAACGGGTGGCATATGGACAAGCCAACGACTGATCCCGGCGTCGCAATTGGTTTTTAATTTCGCGCATTTGTCTTAAATCCCACGGCTACAAACCACGCAGCTAGTAAATCTTTTTTTATAGAACCAGGCCTTGTTTAGAATGCCTCCCAAATTCCAAGTTTAAACAGGCCCTAGATGCTCAGTTGGGTTCGTCTGCTGCAGTAGCAGTGTAGCACCAGCACTCAACCTGCTCGTCTTTTGTGAACCCAAGACGACAAACTGCCACTCGCCGACTCACGGGTGGCATATGGACAAGCCAACGACTGATCCCGGCGTCGCCATTGGCCACGCGCGCTGTCTTAAATCCCACGGCCACCACGCAGCTAGCGAGCGACCAAGAACCAGTGAACCACCATGAAGAAGCCACTGGCGCCCCTGCTCCTCTACTGCTCCCTCCTCTGCCTGGCGCCCGCGGCCGCCCCGCGCCGCCTGCTGCACGGCCACCCGCCTCCGTACGCGCGCAACGCGACGGCGTACGGCGCCTCGGCGGCGCTGTGCCCGGGCTGCGAAGCATGGGCAGATGCGCTGGAGTTCCTCTACTACCACAACCTGGTGCGGCTGGCGTCACTGGAGCCGCCGCTGGCGTGGTCCCCGCGCCTGGCCTCGTACGCGCGCTGGTGGGCGGCGCAGCGCCGCGGGGACTGCGCGCTGCGCCACTCCTTCCCCGACGGCCAGTTCGCGCTCGGCGAGAACGTCTTCTGGGGCGGGCCCGGCGGCGCGTGGCGGCCCCGGGACGCCGTCGCCGACTGGGCCGCCGAGGGCGCCGACTACTCGTACGCCGACAACGCGTGCGCGCCGGGACGGGAGTGCGGGCACTACACACAGATCGTGTGGCGACGCACCACCGCCGTCGGGTGCGCCCGCGTGGCGTGCGACGGCGGCGGGGTGTTCATCACCTGCAACTACTACCCAGTCGGCAACGTCGTCGGCGAGAGGCCGTACTAGGCGGCTAACTAGCTCAGATCAGAGTTGGTCACAGGCGATCAGTGCCACGGTCAGAATAAAAATGCGGTTTTACCGTCACTTTATGCAGCGTGTAAATTTTCCTTGTCCTCAGTTGTCGCAAGAACTACCCTGGCTGCGTGATGCAAATTTGTGGGCTGCAATTGGGCCTAGTTTTGAGGTCCATCCCATGCCGCCAAAGCTGACAGATACAGGTGGGCCTTCTGGGCCAGTCCACCCATTATTAGGTCTTTATAGAACGAAGATTTCTGAATAAACTTCAGAACTTGGTATATATGCAGAGCTCCTGTGTAACTTTCCAGTTTTGCAAATATATTTTTAAGACCTAGCTGACATCATTTGTGATCCCACCCTTTTTTGTCTGTCTCTTTTTGTCGGGGTTATCGGGGTGTCTCAAGGCATCGGTTAGTTAACATGCCAAGTGGCCCACGATATATCAGCTAGCGAAGGCCCGAACGATCGAGGCCCAGTCGAGCAAGTGAACCAAGCCGGACGCCAAGGCTAAGGTCAGCCATGACCCCTCCCTTCTGTCGTAGCCGCATGACGCACAAGAGACACACAACCTCTCCACCGTCACGACCCTGGGAGGAACAGGGAGAGGTCGAGCGCAGCCAAGCGCGCTGCTCTGACAAGAACGGACACGCCGCACTGACCCCGCAAGGACTGAGGAGACAACGGTCACCTCGGTCCGGTCAGACGCTATCCTGCGCCACGCAGCTCGGACAAGACAACACCGCCTAGCGGTGACGGCCGATACGGTGTCCACGGTCCAGATACGACTTGACAAGACGCGTGTACGATTCTACCTACTCGGGATGGGATCCACAACGGAGGCCTTGACTTAGAGGCCATCTGAACCAACGGCCCCGAAGCTCAGGATCATGGCCACCAGCTCCACAAGCCAACCAGGAGACCGACGACCTAGGTGTGGTCACCAATTCTTGTACGATGCCGCCAGGAGGCGATGACGAAGGCCACGGTGGAGACCACGCCGCGCAAGATGGCTAGCGAACCATCACCGTGCCTATAGTGCCGCCATGACCGGCACAGTAGCACCAGGTCACACCTTACCGCGACGTGGGCACAAGACCATGACAACAACCACGCCCGGACATGCACCATAAGACGGCGTAGCTTGCAAGCCAAGTTAGCTATGCCCCTACCTCAGGCTCACGACCCCTCGGTCGGGAGAACCTTCTTTGTACCTGCCCTGGCCCCGAACTCCATATAGGGACAGCCAGGGCACCATCCCAACTCATTCTCTCATTCTTCACACCATCGGACTCCTGAAGCTTCCCTTCAGGCAGTTCATCTCTTAGCTCTAGCTCTAGCTCTCCTACCTCTTCGACCATTCTTGCACCCCCCATTGTAAGATCTTCAGAGCATTCAAGCGAGGAACACGCACTCGATCATCTCTGAGACTGGACGTAGGGCTCCAGCCTGAACCAGTATAAATCCTCGTGTCTTTTGGATGCTACTATCGTCTTCCTAGAGCAGCGCGGCAATTATATAAATTTACTAGTCCGGTTTACAAAACACCGACACTTTTTCGGTAATACTTCCTGTAGGGCGTCCTTTCATCCGAATGCTCCTGTTTGTGCGCTGCGAGCCCAACGACCCCCTCCTATCCTATCCTATTTGCTCGTCCACTCGTTTTTCCATCCTATCCTATCCGCTCGTCCACTTGATTCTTCAGCAGTCACGCAAAAATCATTGCAGCATCGTGACCGTGCTCCGTCGCGCCGCCTCCGGCGTATGGGCGCTCGTCGGCCGACATCTCCACTGTGCTTGAGTGCGGCCGCACGCCTTCCTCCCTCTCCATCGCCCCTCCTGCCCGCTGCGGTCGCTCATCTTCCTCTTAGGCCTTGCTTCGTCCTCGCCTTGCTCTGGTGCCAGATATGGCCGCCTCTCTAGTCGCTTTATACGCCACCCCATGGCACAGCCCTCCGCTACCGGCTCGTAGTAGATGAACTCCTCTACCCTAGGCGTACGCAGCCGCACATACCTTCTGTTTGTTATGGCGCCGTGCTGTGCCGACTGCCTTGACGCGCCTCCGCCCCTCCTCACGTAGATGTCTTTCGCGTCGCCCGTGCTGATGGTCGGCCTGCTCGTGGATGATCTTGGACGACAGCGGCATGGTGGCTTGGCGCAGCGGGGCCGCACGCGTGTAGTTGCGCTCCCTCCATGCGGCAAGCAAGGAGATGTTGCACGAAAGCGCATGTTTTAATTGTTTCAGAGGTATGTTGCTAGTGTTTCGCAAAGATGTTGCAAAAATAGATCAGGATGTTGCATACGTTGCAATGACTATATGTTGCAGGAGTCTGTTCCAAATGTTTCATCTGTTTCTCAGACGTATGTTGCAAGCGTTTATCTAGATGTTGCATGTGTTTCACGCATATGTTGCAAGTGTTTTATCTGGATGTTGCATATGTTTGCAACGGCTTTCAAGTGTTTTTAGGCATTTTATAAGTGTTTCAGATGTATGTTGCAAGTGTTTCATCTAGATTTTGCAAAAGTAGATCGGGTGTTGCATATGTTGTAATGGGACCCACCTGTCGCTGTCGTCTGCTGCAGCTGCTAGGGTGTTGTGCATGCGGTTCCCGTGTGAAGTGGGCGTGGGAAGTAGCCGGCGCAGGCACAGGTAGTATCCCCGCGTGCTTGATACGGAGCGGGGGTGCAGGCGGTCTCCACGCACTGCGGGGAAGCTAGGCGGTTCCCATGTGCGAGCGAAGGGCGCGGGCAAGGCGACGCGCCCACGCGATGTGGGCACGAGAAACGTAGGAGGCGCAGGAAACAGAGGTGCGTGACACAAGCCGGGCGGGGGTTGGATGTCCGCGCGCGCATCTCCCTTTTTTTGAAATCATGTGTAACTTCTTGTGTACGTTCTTGTGCGTGTGGCATAGTTTGGTCAGCTTATTATTAGAACATGCATGATCTGAACACAAGTAAATTTAGCAGTAAAAATAACAAATTTAAAAGTAGTTGTCATAGGAGGAGACAAATTTGATTGTGCCATGAACAAAACAAACGAGGACAAACCTATATGCTCGTCACTCTCATGGCATACATATCATCTCTAATAACTGGAGCCCCCAACAAATTAAATATTAGCTACTGTGCGTACGTAGTATTATGAGAAGAAATGCAAAACAGATCGAGCGAAAAACTAATCATGATTTGAAACGGTGGTATACTGGCGCCATGGACGCGCTGCCGGTATGGTAACTCCCGGCGTTCCGGTGATAGCGACCGGCGGCGGGCGATCAGAACGGCTTCTGTCCCATGACGTTGCCCCTCGGCTCGTAGTGGCACGCCATGAGCGTGTCCCCGGAATCGCACTGGACGATGGCGCAGCCGAACTCCTTGCTGTCCCGCCACACCATCTGCGTGTAGCGGCCGCACGCCTTGCCCGTGGAGCAGGAGTTGGAGCCGTAGTCGTAGTGCTCCTCCTCCTCGGCCCACGCGGCGACCGCGTCGCTGGGCAGCCATGTGGCGCCCGCACCGCCGAGGAAGACGTTGATGCCGGCGGCAGGCGCGGCGGCCGCGCAGTTGCCCTTGAACTGCAGCGCCCACTGCAGGGCCCGGGCGGAGATCTCCTCCGTGAACTTGAGCGGCTTCACGTTGTTCCGGGCGCGGAGGTGCGCGTGCGGCACGTCGAAGTCCTGCCCCGGGCACGTCTGCAGCAGCCGGCGAGGCGCGGCCGCCGCCGGCACTAGTAGGACGACGGCGCACACCGCCAGGAGGAGGCAGCACGAGAGCCGGCGGCTTCTTGAGGTGCACTCCATGGTGAAGACGACCAGTGTTCGTACGTGTGTTCCAGCAAAGCTAGAGCTACTAGTCTAGCTGTGTAAGAAATGCTGGCGATGTCCAATGGCTAATGGTACGTCGTTATATGCTCGAGCAGTGCCGACAATTAAGAAATTCATCTGCCGTAATTAAGTTATTAATTACGATGAGTGAGTTACTATAGAATCCAGTGGCAGATAGATCTAGCACGCCCAGTAGATGGTGATGGACGCAGCAGCAGAATCTGATGCCATGTGATCGGGGCACTTGCATTGAGGGCGTGCTGCAGCTCGCGATCGATCGAGGCAGGCCGTCGTGCGTGTCCTCGTTTGACTTGCGATTTCATAATTCAGCTGGGCAGTGTACGAACTGTCGAACACTCTTAACATGGCTCGTTTTTTACACCATTGGTCGGCTTGACACCTTGGGCAAATCTTCGGAGCAGGCCAGAGGATGCCTGCTGTCTATACTGTACATGGGAATGGGATGGATTCTGGTCAGTTTGCAGCTGATGAAGCAAACGCTTGGAAAATGGGGTTTCCGGTGCGATCTGTCTGTTTAGTGTCAGTGTAATAATTTAATGGTTTTTGTGCAGGGGTTTTGCGCGAAGAGAAGCTGCATTGACATGATGGGAACACATGCTTTCATGTGCCTGTGCGTGCCTGACTCAGAGACCGCATCTAAGGCCTTGTTTAGATTGTGAATAATTTCAACCCGATGAGACCGCATCTAAGATTTCGTAGGACCAACTAGGCTCAAAAGATTCATCTCGTGATTTTGAGTGGTAAAGTTTTTTTTTTACCTATATTTTACTCCATGCAGTCTCTTGGAATTTTGATGTACGCCCCTCGTTCTGGACTGGAAGGTCGTTTTAGCTCTCGCACGCCTCGTTAGGACTGCATGTTTAGTTCGCATGCTAGGCCATGTTTAGGCGCCGGAGTTATTACCGTATACTGTAGCTACACTGTAGCTACAGATCTGTTTTGTTTTTATTTGGTAATACTTATTTAATCATTGACTAATTAGGTTCAAAACGTTCGTATCGCAAAGTACAACCAAGCTGTGCAATTAGTTTTTGATTTTATCAACATTTAGTACTCCATGCATGTACCGCAAGTTTAATGTGACGAGGAATCTTCTTTTTGCATAGTGTCAAAGTTTGGATTTTGGATGAAACTAAACATGGCCCTAATGTCAGCATCGCCAGGCGAGCGGAACCTGAGTGAGCCACCAGCCAGGAGGACAACGGGGGACCTGAACGCGTCACGAGCTCCTTGAACCAGACCGGACCTGAACCAAGGAAAAGCGGCCGAGTCCGACGCGCCAACGTGCGGTTCGGTGGACACGAGTGGGCGTGAATCATAGTCTAGACACAGCTGCGCCTGTGCGATTCACGCCGTGGGCCAGGGCCCTGTATACATACGAATAGAGAGACAGAGGAGAGAACAGACATATCTGAACCAAAACAATACGAAGCTTCCTTCTCCAGTTATCTGACGAGTTTCCTCTCTCTTCCTTTCTTCTTCCCCAATCCTTCCCCTTGGATGCTAACAATTGGTATCCAGAGCCTTCCGATTATCCTTCGCGTTCCCTTCCTCTACTCTGATTCGCAATTTGCCGTGGTTGGTTGATTTCGTCGCGCCGCAGTGAGCTGCTGTAGCGCGATTGAGTTAGTGTAAATCCCCGGATCCGTGAATCAAGTCGAGAACACGCGACCTGGATCGATCACCACCACCACCACCACCGCCGCCGCCACCACCACCACCAAAGCCCCCGTTCCGATTCCACTATACTCGCTCCGCCAAACGTCTGGGCGCAATGAATCCGGATACCCAGCTCCTGTTGGCGGAGATCCAAAAACTCGCCACTGCGCAAGCCGCCACCCATAAGCAATTCGCCGAGCAGAAGGATCTCCTCGAACGGCGATTCAGCGAAGCTGATGAAGTCCTGGACAAGCGCTTCCGGGAGGCGGACGCGGCGGTCGAGCAGAGGATCATCGACTCCGAGCTTCGCCAGGACGCACGCCTCAGCACCATTGAGAAGGCCGCCTCCGACCTCACCTCATGGCGCCAGGAGCACGAAGGCATCGTCGACGACCTCCGTCTTCGCATCGGCAAGCTCGACAAGTACTGGAACCGGTCCGTGATTGAGTCCGCTGCCGCTCACATCGAGCCGGCCATCCTCACCGAGCCATCGGTCAAGTCGGAGCAGCACGCCGCATCTGCATCTGCTGGCTACAAGGCTACTCGGCCCAACGGGCACGGCGTCGATCCTCACCACCTAGAGAATGAGTTTGGGGTTGTCACAACCTATACTCATTCCCCGGTCATGGGTATGGACAACTCCTCTACGAATCCCCCTAAGTTTCATGGCACTGCAGATGCCTTAGTGTTATCCCGCAACCGCCCACCCAAGCACCACCATAACCCCACCGGCAAGCTCCCAAAAATGACCTTCCCAACCTTTGATGGCACTAACCTTAAACTATGGATTACTTGCGCTGAAGATTACTTTGAGATGTACTCTGTTGATCCCTCAGTCTGGATTCAGTGCTCGCGCATGCAATTCCTTGGCCCTGCCAAACGCTGGATCCAATCAGTTACTGACAAACTGAAAACCATGACCTGGTCTGAATTTTGTCAAGAGAGCATACCCGCTTTGATCGCGATCAACATGAATTTCTCCTTCGCAAGATGAACCGCATTCGCCAAACTTCCTCTGTGCAAGATTATGTTGATCACTTTTTCTGAACTTGTTGACCAGCTCACAGCCTATGATTCCTCCACCAATGCTCTGCATTACATCACTCGTTTCCTAGATGGCTTACATTCAGAAATTCGTACTATCATTCTTATTCAGCGCCCCGATTCTCTGGATACTGCGTATACTTTGGCATTGTTGCAGGAAGAGGATGCGGAGTCATCAAGGAAACAGGAATTCAAGCCGTGGAATCAGAAGGCTGGTTATCCCCTTCCTCAACGACAAGATCGTGTGCAAGCTGGGACAGCGGACAAGTCTGTTTTGAATCAAAAACCACTAGACAAGAAGCTGGCTGATCTCAAGGCTTACCGACGTGCCCGTGGCTTATGTGATCACTGCGGAGAGAAGTGGAATCGTGACCACAAGTGTGCGCTACAAGTGGGACTCCATGTCCTGGACGAGCTCTACGCTCTTTTCTCTGACGAAACGGTAGATGGTCCGACAACAGATGGCAATGAGGGACCAGAGCCAGAAGAAACCTATTGCTGCCTATCTTATGACACTATAGCACAACCGAGGGTAAAGACATTGCAATTCCAAGGCATGTTTCAGCAGCAGCTGGTCTTGATCCTACTGGACTCAGGTAGCTCCACATCATTTATCAGTCAACAGTTACTGTCTCAACTGTCAGTCAATCCAGTTTAGTGTCCTTCACTAGCTGTTAAAGTAGCCAATGGTGAGATGGTGCTGTGTTCTGCTCAATTGCCAGCAGCAGTATGGAGTATTCAGCAGTATCAGTTTACTCATGATTTCAAGGTTTTGCCCATCACACACTATGACATAATCCTTGGCATGGATTGGTTGCAGCTTTTCAGTCCAATGAAGGTGGATTGGTTGCATCGCTGGTTGGTCATTCCTTACAAGGGTACAACTGTCAGGTTATAGGGCAATCTACCATTGGGAGTTACTGGGGATGATAAACTGTTGGTGCAGATATTCAGTATCACTCAGCAATCCACTGTTATCGGGGTTTAGTTACCTTAGGCCATCAGTGCTTTACTGAATGAGTTTCCTTCAGTGGTTTGTCCACCTGACCAACTACCACCTAAGAGGGACTGTGATCATGTGATACCATTGATTGAAGGTGCTAGGCCTATCACAGTGCGACCATACCGTTACCCACCAGCCCTCAAGGATGAAATTGAATCTCATTTTGAATCTATGCTGCAACAGGGAATAATCCAACCTAGCACTTCGCCATTCAACTCGCCTATGTTGCTAGTACGTAAAAAGGATGGTTCCTAGAGATTTTGTGTGGACTATCGCTACCTCAATGCCCTCACTATCAAGACTGCATTTCCTATTCCAGTGTTTGAACAACTGATGGATGAGCTAGCAGGTGCTCTGTATTTCTCCACTCTGGACCTCCTGTCAGGCTATCACCAATACGGTTATGTGAAGGTGAAGAGCATAAACTACGTTCTCCACTCATGTGGGCCATTACGAATTCAAGGTCATCGCCTTTGGGCTTTCTGGTGCGCCCGACACTTTCCAAGGCGCCATGAACAGTACTCTGAAACCTTGCCTCCACGGTGTGCTATTGTCTTCTTTGATGATATACTCATTTACAGCAAGTCCTTTGAGGAGCATATCGACCATCTGCATCTTGTTTTTTCCTTGCTAGCCCAAGATCAGTGGCACATCAAATTATCCAAGTGCAAGTTCACGCAAACTGAGATCTCTTATTTGGGTCATGTCATCAGTGCCAAAGGTGTGGCTACAGATCCAGCTAAGATTGAGGCAGTGGTTTCCTAGCCAACGCCGACTACAGTCAAGGAACTTCGTAGCTTTCTCAGCTTTGCCGGCTTCTACCGCCGTTTCGTTCGCCATTATCTAGTAATCTCAAAGCCACTGACATCATTGTTGAAGAAGCACTCTCTGTTCATTTGGTCTATTGAACATGAGACGGCATTCCAAACCCTAAAGAAGTGTTCGAGCTTAGCTCCCATGCTGGCACTGTCTGATTTCAAACGGTAGTTCTGTATCAAGACTGATGCTTCTCACTATGGGGTCGGTGTGGTGCTCCTTCAGGAGGGGCATCCACTCGCTTTCCTTAGTCAAGCTCTCGGACCCAAGAATCAAGGGTTGTCAGCCTACGAGAAAGAGTACATGGCTATCATCATTGCTGTTGATCAGTGGCGTTCATATTTGCAGCTGGGTGAGTTTGTCATTTTTACCGATCACAAGAGCCTCATCCATTTGACTGATCAGCGCCTTCACACTATATGGCAACAAAAAGTTTTCACTAAATTGTTGGGGTTGCAATACAGAATAGTCTATAAACCGGGCACTGACAATCGAGTTGAAAATGCACTTTCTCGCCTTGGCCACCTAGAGGAGCTGTTGGCTCGACGCCATCATCCATAGTTATACCTCTGATGCTCAGGCTTAGGAACTGATGACTAAGTTAGCTGTCTCTAAAAACTCTGAACCTCACTTCTCTATGCACCAAGGGCTACTTCGGTACAAGGGACGTATTTGGGTTGGGACTGATATGATTCTCCAACACAAGATTATTGAGGCTTTCCATTCTTCACCAGTGGGTGGTCACTCGGGATTTCCTGCAACCTACCGACGCATCAAGCCTCTCTTTGCCTAGACGGGTCTGAAATCCTCAGTTCACCAGTTTGTGGTTGCATGTCCTACTTGTCAGCAGGCCAAGCCCGATCGCGCCAGGTACCCGAGTCTACTTCAGCCTTTACCGGTTCCCACTATGGCGTGGCAAAGCATTTCGATGGACTTTGTGGAGGGACTTCCACCCTCTGGGGGCAAGAATTGTATCCTAGTGATTGTGGATCATTTTCCCAAGTATGCACACTTTATCCCAATGGCTCATCCATTTACTGCTCTTACAGTGGCCAAGACATTTATCACCAATGTGTACCACCTCCATGGTCTACCATTGTCCATTGTTTCTAACCAAGACAAGGTCTTCACCAGTCAGCTATGGCAAGAGCTCATCCGTTTGACCGGCGTCACTCTCAGGATGTCTTCAGCTTACCATCCTCAAACCGACGGGCAAACGGAGCGCGTGAATCAATGCATGGAAACATTCTTGCGTTGCTTTGTCAGTTCCTGTCCAGCTAAGTGGCTTGATTGGATTTATCTGGCTGAATATTGGTACAATGCCACATGGCATTCTTCACTGAGCTATTCACCATTTTTTGTTCTCTATGGTCATCACCCTCAGCACTTCGGGATTTCTGAAGACAGTACAGTTTCCTCGATTCCTCTTGATGATTGGATGAAGGAAAAGTCCATGATGAACACTCATTCAGCAACACCTTGTTCGGGCTCAGAAGCGCATGAAGACACAAGCTGACAAATCTCGCTCTGAACGCCAATTCACAGTCGGCGACTGGGTGCACCTCAAGTTGCAGCCATATGTCCAAACATCTTTAGCTCCGCACGCTAATCAAAAGCTAGCTTTCAAATTCTTTGGCCTATTTCAGGTCATCGGACATGTGGGCGACGTCGCGTACAAGCTCAAGCTTTCGGAGAATTCAGGTATTCACCCTGTCTTCCATGTGTCCTAGCTCAAGACAGCGGTGCCTACATCTAATTCGATGACTGATCTTCCCCACACTCTCGACAGGCTGCAGATACCAGTGAAGGTCCTCCAGCAGCGCATCCACACCACCGACCACGCCGTCGTGCCACATGTGCTCGTGCAATGGTCAAATCTACCGCGTTCACTAGCCACCTGGGAAGACACTAAAACTCTCCGGCAAAGGTTTCCTCGCGCCCCTGCTTGGGGACAAGCAGGTCTTCATCGGGGAGGGGATGTCAGCATCGCCAGGGGAGCGGAACCTGAGTCAGCCACCAGCCAGTAGGACAACGGGGGACCTAAACGCGTCACGGGCTCCTTGAACCAAACCGGACCTGAACCAAGGAGAAGCGGCCGAGTCCGACACGCCAGTGTGCGGTTCGGTGGACACGAGTGGGCGTGAATCATAGTCTAGACACAGCAGTTGCGCCTGTGTGATTCACGCCGTGGGCCAGGGCCCTGTATACATACGAACAGAGAGAGACAGAGGAGAGAACAGACATATATGAACCAAAACAATACGAAGCTTCCTTCTCCAGTTATCTGACGAGTTTCCTCTATGCTCCCTTTCTTCTTCCCCAATCCTTCCCCTTGGATGCTAACAGCTAAGTTAAGCTTCTTCAACTTTAACTAGATTTATAAGAAATATACAAATATCTCCACTATCAAATAGAATTCATTAGATACACAAATAGAATTCATCATGAGAGGACTATATATAGAATTCAACCAAGCCAACACAAAGCGATTAGAAGCACTCAAAAAGATTAGGCCAGACCGTTCTATTGCACTAGATTTTTATATAGGACAAGAATCAGAGGGTCAATTATTATTGTGGGACAATGAGAATCACTTGTTCTTATTTGGAGTTGCAGTTATAAAATATGCGGTCGGTTTCGCCAAAATCGATACAATGCAAACCTTGTGTCATGCTTGCAGTTTCATTTCAGGTTCAATAGTTGCTGAACACAACTAGAGGTATTAGATTCTAACAAGCGTGTTAGGACGTGCTAGAGTTTTATTATCTTAGATTCATGGATTAATTTGAGCTTGGACAAAAAGTTTAGTAGGCTAAAAATGTAGGAACATTTAGGGATAAGATTTACTCCCTTATTGATTATTTTACAAAGTTAAAATAGTCACCGATGTTAGGGGGACTGAACAAGTAGTTTGTAGCTTTTTTATAAGTAACTGATGAAGGGTTGGAGGTGCTGGATCTACAACCTGTGTTATACCCGACGATTCAATCATAGATGTTATTTCATCGATTTAGATGAATTTTGGTCTAGTTTTGAAACGTTGGCTCTTGCGACGTATCCAAGATTTTAGGCTGGTTGGTGGATTTGGTGTACTCTAGCTTCAGTGTTTGACGAGACTATCTTTGTGCATCTAGGCCTTGTTTAGATTGCCTCAAAATTCCAAGTTTTTTCACCCTCTCTTCATCACATCAATTTTTAGACACATACATAGAGCATTAAATGTAGGTAAAAAAATAACTAATTACATAGTTTGGTTATAAATCTTTTGACATAGTTAGTCCATAATCTTTTGAGCCTATACAAATCCATGATCGGACAAAATTATAATCTAAACAAGGGCCTTGTTTAGTTCAAATTAGGAATAGAAATCAGAAGCACTTTTCGTTTGTATTTGACAATTATTGTCCAATCATGGCCTAACTAGGCTCAAAAGATTCGTCTCGTAATTTACAATCAAACTGTGTAATTAGTTATTTTTTTTATCTATATTTAATACTCCATACATATGTCTAAAGATTTGATGTGATGAAGAGAGAGTGAAAAAACTTGAAATCTAAACAAGGCCAAGGCCCTAGAGTCTATTTGCATTGAGCCGTGGCAGGCAAATGCCTGGAAGGCAACAAACCCAGCCCGCTAGGCACTCGAATCGAGGGCCTAGATGGTTGCCTGTCTATGAAATTTTATGGGCGAGCAACTAAAGAGGCCCCTAGAGCCATCAGCTGCATCAACCAACACCACCAGCCAAAGGATACGAATACGATGAAGGACTTATTTTATTTCAGGTTATTTTATATGTAATATAGGGATATATTGTGCCAAGTTTTAATATAATTTTTCTTCCCTTTGAAAGAAGAAATACTCTGAAAGTTTAGTCTATCATGTCATAATCTGACATAGTTTTGCTTTTAACATCAGTTTGAAGTGGAGGCAATGGAGAGGTCTATGGTCCCGTTCGCTGGTCTGAAACTTAGCTGAAAAATACTGCTCTTCCTGAATTGTTGTGAGAGAAAAACACTATTTGGCTGGTTTGATAAACAATAAATTGAGAGGGGAGCAGTCGACTGGCTGGTGAAACCAGACCAGCGAAGGAAGCGATAAATGAGAGTTGGCACTGCCACTTGTGAAGTAGTATTGCGTCAACCATCATTGCACCAACCTAAGAGAAAGCGTGCAAAACTCTGTTGTTCGTCAGCCGTCTTCATGAATATGTATGGCAATTTTTTTGTTTGATATTAGCTTATAACTATCACTGTAGAATTTTTGTTTGAGGGGCTTACCTTACTGTCTCTACAGAATTGAGGTAGTTACAGTTTTGGTTGGCAGTTTGGGTGCAACCATACTTGGCAGGGGTCTAAATAAGCTGTGCAGTTTGACTCTATCTTTTGCATTATTGTACCCAATAAGATTTGTTTTTTCAATATCTAAAGGTGAAGGTAAAACAATCACAAGCAGCTTTCCAAAATGTAAATTCTTAGAGCATCTCCAACGGTCCCCTTTTCTATCCCCAATGAAAAAAAAAACTATTATTTTGAAGATCCTGTAGCTTCAGTAGTTCTCCAAACCCAACTTTAATGAGAATTTTTTTTTGTCAGTCCCTCAAATTATAGCATCCCACCCCTTAAATAAAGGGGAGACATCTCCTCCCCAAATCTACTATTTTTCTCATTGGAGATTAGATTTTCTCGTTCTGCTAGAGAGAAGATCTTCAAAATTTCAAAACACGTTTTGTATCTTCCCCAATAACTAGTGTTTAGGGTTAGAGTTTTCTCCTACTTATGAAGATGCTCTTGTAGTCTTATGTAACTGAAGCTCCAAAGTTTGTTGGCTGTCAAGATCAAAGCAATAAAATCAGGTGGGGAATCATTCCTCGCCGCGACCCCGTCAAAAAAAAAGGTAAAACAAGCTGTACATGGATCTTAGAAAATACACGATACCTACTTTCATCCTTTTGTTTTGTTCTTTTTTTTTGAAATTGTATCCACAAAAAAAAATTATCAAGTGTGTCGTTCAAATTTTATGTCTGTAGAAACTAGCCCAGGTTAACAGAATAATCTTACAGGAGCCCGGACTGATGGACCAGAGTGGTATGAAAGAAAGAAAGAATTATTTCGCTTCCCCATGACAAATTTTGACAGACTTGTGAAAGTGAAATGAGTGACAAATCCCTTGAGGCGTGGGTGCTTATTGAACATTTATTAAAATTTGAACCGCATGATGCAAAGGCACACGAGATTCCGCGCGCCAATCGTTGTCGTCGAAAAGCAGCCGCTGGACGGCTGGAGTATTCCGGCGACTCGAGAACCGTCCGACGTGGACCAGCAACTAACCGGGGAAATGCCCGCGTCTTCCAGATTCTACACCTCCGCCACGTGCTCCCTCGCGACCGCCTCCTCCCGTTCCCCACCTCGCCACCGCCGCGCCTCCCTCATGGGCCAGTCCCCCAGCGCTCCCCCGGGGCGCAGCCGCAGCCGCAGCCGAAACGGGAGCAGCTCGCGGTGGCCTCACCCGGGGCTCGGGCTCGACCTGGGGTTCCTGCTCGGGCGCAAGCCGCGGCCGGGGGACGAGAAGCCGGACCTGGCGAGCTGGATGCGGTGCTTCCTGTCGCAGCGTCTGCCGCAGCCCACCGCCGTGGCGGAGGAGAGGGCGGACGCGGAGGGTAAGGCCGCCGGGAGACGAGAGGAGGAGGAGGTTGGCGCGGATGAGGCTGACCACCTCGTCGTCATGGTCAACGGGCTGTACGGGAGGTGTGTGCGCAATCGTTTTGCTCTCGGGTGTTCAGTCTGGCGCTCCTATTTCAGCTAATTTTGTGGCTTGTTAGTTCGGCGGATTGGAAGTTTGCAGCGGAACAGTTTGTGAAGAGATTGCCGGGAAAAGTCTACGTGCATCGTGAGTGCTCGTACTTTGTATTAGTTGCGCTCTTCCATTTGAAACGGGTGCAATTTGTTATCGCAAACGTTGAATTAGTTCCTTCATAGAAAGGGATGGAGGGTAGTAGAACATAGAAGTGTGTAGTCAATCTTAAATCTTAGCGGAGAAGATCCAAAGTCAGGGGGTGATTTTAGTTGGTTGCTGAAAATTTGGATGTGACTGAATCCAGTGAGCTGGTGATGCTATAGGAGAATTGTCAAAGGTAAAATGCTGAAGGTGCTTGTCAGTGTGTAATTCTAAAAACAACTGCTGAGAAAGTTCTGCAGCACTAGTAAGCACAAGTCATAGCGGGCTACAATCATAGTTTGGAATTGATAGAAGTCACTGAAATGATTAATCCACAACTGGGAGTGATGCGCAGCAGCAGCGCAATCTAGTTTACTAGCGACAGTCCTGTTATGTCCACGGGTACCATCATGCTACTTAGTGAGTTTGCCATGCCAAGTTTGTTCCAACTTCCACTGCACACTTAAGTGGCCATTGACCTGGCTAGTGAAACATAACCCTTTGTGCTATTTTAAGATCACTTGTATTAATATTTCTTTAATGCAGGTAGTCAGAGCAATTATTCAAAATTAACATATGATGGAGTTGACTTAATGGGTGAAAGGCTAGCTGAGGAGGTACTATAAAGTAGTAACTTCAATATACCAATTATTTGGCTTTGTAATAGATTCATATCTCGTGTTCATTTGCCCTTTGCCAATTCACAGTTGAGTGCTATTGCTGTTAATAATCCATTAAAGTTTCCAGGGCGTCATTGAATTAACTAGAAGGTTACAAGGTGAAACAAATATTTATCATGCAGGTTCGACAAGTTGTTCAGAGGAGAAGAAACTTGAGGAAAATATCTTTTGTTGCTCATTCGCTTGGCGGTTTAGTAACAAGATATGCAATAGGAAAATTTTACGAACCTGCCATGGATGAAACATCTTCTTGTGACACTGATAAGACTTCTGATGAACAAAATGTACCTGGTGCTGGTAAAATAGCTGGTTTAGAACCAATCAATTTTATTACATCTGCTACACCACACTTGGGCTCAAGGTGGAATAAACAAGTAAGTTCCATGTTTATTTACTTATGTTCAGTTGTGAATGCTTATTACGTTCTTCTATATTATTATCAGCCTTTTTATCACCACAATAAAGTCCCACGAGCCTCCAGATATTTGAACCTTCTTCTATGATATAACTCTTAGCCCTTTTATTAACTTGGACAAACAGCTCAGAAACCCGCCCATTTTCTGAGTCTCATTCCTACTACTCAATGCCTTAACATTCCTTCTCTCATTAATTTTTCACTGTGGTTACGTTTGAGTTCAATAACAAACAGTATCAGTAAGACAGGAACAAAGACCCTGATTCATTTTTATATTTGTGTTCTTCTTCAGCTTCCCTTTCTTTTTGGTGTCCCACTTTTGGAGAGAACTGCTGCAGGAACAGCACATTTTATAGTTGGGAGAACTGGTAAACATCTATTCCTTACAGACATGGATGATGGGAAGCCTCCTCTTCTTCTACGAATGGTTGCAGATTGTGACGACGGGAAATTCATGTATTGGTCCAGTCATTGCCAAATCATATCAGTCTATAATTCATACTGGCTTCAAACGTCCTCTTTACACTGTTACCTATGCAGGTCTGCATTGCGCTCTTTCAAGCACCGTGTTGCCTACGCTAATGTAACATATGATCGTATCCAACTGATGCTACACATTTTCTATTTTCTGCATCAATCTATGAGTTGATTGTCAAAGATACCCATTTACATGTGCCCTTAACTTATCGAAATAGATATAGTTGGTTGGAGAACATCATCGATTCGGCGTCAGCAAGAATTACCAAAAGTAAACCAGCACTTCTGTTTACTAAGAGGCAGTAAAAGTCTTCCTGTGCTTTACCACTCATCTGTCTATAATATGGCCTTTCTTTGTTTCCCAGCTCAAGTTAACAGCAAATGATGAAAAGTATCCTCATGTTATTAATGTCGATAAAGGAAATCTAGAGGATCATCAGCAACAGGGATCTGTAGAAGATTCACTGGCAGATAGTTATGAAGGTAATAATGACCAATAGATATGCCATAAATTTGCATGTTTGGGTTTTGCCCTTTTTTCTTAACACCGGTTAGAAGTGTATCAGTGCATGTAAGAGTTGCATAAAGGCTTGAGAAGCTGGCTACAGAAATGCTGCTGAATGCTACCTGTTAATTTGTAAGCTTAGCTAATTAATATTCAAAATTACTGATAGGAGTAAGAGGTGCACTGCACATCTAATGATCTAACTGCAATTGGTTTCCTGCTATAGCTGTGCATTAAGACATCTGTTATTACAGAGATTATGATCCGTGGCCTTACACAAGTGACCTGGGAACGTGTGGATGTATGCTTTCATAAGAGTTGGCTAAGATACAACGCCCATAATAACATCCAGGTAAGACTACAGCCTAGCCATCTGCGGACAGTGCGGACAATTATTCTAGTACAGTTGCACTTGCATTCATACTTTTAACCATCTGGAGATTTATGCTACAATGAAACCACCAATTGGGAGTTCAGCTGCTAACTAATATGACAACTTATCTGTTGGGCAGCTGAGAAAGAATTTTACACATTGTTATTGCTACTACTACCTGATCAGTAGCTGTGAAGTGTGAACCTTTCCCTTGTTGTATATGACACTTCCTTGTTCAATAGTAACAGACAGAATTTCCTTGTATCGCTACATGATTTACCTTATTGTAATAAGGATGTAGGATTGTAGTTTCAGGGAAGTCTAAGCACTCCTTTTGGGTTTACGATGGTTTGCAGGTTAGGATCCATCCAGTTAATTCAGATGGAGAAGATGTCATATACCATATGATAGACAATTTTGTAGTCTAGACAAGTAGACTATTTCTGATGAATGCCAACTACATAAAAGATTATTGCTATTTCCGGTGAATTCGTCTTGGGGGGGGGGGGGGGGGTATGCACACTAGTTAGATAATTGGCACCAGCGGATCAGCATGTACTCACACCGTGCTGCCAGGTGATTAGAGCGTAGGACCTGTACTTGTTGCTGGCAGTGTAAATGTAAGTGTTAGTAATGTAGGTATTAGCATGACAGTGCAAATTCTTGTAAATGTGCATTTACAATGTTATCGAAAAATACGTAGTTCGGAAGCTCTGAAGTTTGTTGATTGCTATGCTGAAATAAGATGTCCTTTTATGCCAGTCTCCTGTATTGTCATTTCTGGTTTGAGATCACCACATCATGTCTGTGCGCCACCATCTAATTACCTCCTGCTTGGCAGAAAATGGGGAGGGGATAACTGGTGGCTGCCCGTCAAATCGGTTGAATCCCACAAGACGAACATGATAAACATTCTGAAGTCACTCTAATTATAGTCAATAGAGGTCAGAGAACATGTGTAGAAGTCTAAAAGAGATACAGATGCCCCCCAAAATCCTCCTCTGATCACATCCCCTCCCCCAGGACCTTTGAGGGGATGATGAATGCCAGCGTCAGAATCGTAGAAAGTTAGCCTAGAATAAATTATAGGAGTCCAAAAATCCACCGATCCAAATATATAGTGCTCTGCACACATTAGCAGCAGGAGAAGCAACAGAGGCACAATGGGCAAGTACAGCGACGGGAAGGACGCCGGCGAGGCCAGCGGCGGCGGCAGCTACCCGCTGGTGGCCGTGTGCATCGACAAGGACAAGAACAGCCAGAACGCCCTCAAGTACGCCACCGAGACGCTCGCCCACAAGGGCCAGACCATCGTCCTCGTCCACGTCAACACCAAGGGCACCTCAGGCGAGCATCATCCTTCATCTCCATGGCACGACGTGACCAAAGTTCCCTCGTCAGCTTCCTTCCCGTGTTTCTGATGACGACGGCGTGCGTGTGCGTGCAGGTGGGGTGGAGGACGCCGCCGGGTACAAGCAGCCGACGGACCCGCAGATGAAGGACCTCTTCCTCCCGTTCCGCTGCTTCTGCACGCGCAAAGACGTACGCAAAGAACTACACACATCAAACGTAGCAGCAGTGTTTACACGGTGCGATTTCACGATGTCTGGTGTAACGTAATACGTGCTCTGTAATTGTGTGCCGCAGATCCACTGCAAGGACGTGGTGCTGGACGACCACGACGTGGCCAAGTCGATCGTCGAGTTCGCCGCGCACGCCGCCATCGAGAAGCTCGTCGTCGGCGCCACCGCCCGGAGCGGCTTCGTCAGGTGAGCCAGCCAATGGCCGTTCCGTGCTGATGCCTACGCGTCCGATCCATCGCGCCATTCCTCATCAAGCACTGTGAGGTCGGTGAACAAAGACTCTGTGAAACCAATCCTGGTTTGGTTTGTGAATGAAGGTTCAAGGCGGAAATCTGCAGCAGCATCTCAAAGGCCGCGCCGGACTTCTGCACCGTGTACGTCGTCTCCAAGGGCGGCAAGGTGACGTCGGTGCGGCAGGCCGTTCGGCAGGCACCGGCCGTCTCGCCGCTCCGGACCATGATCCAGGGGCCCAAGCCGGAGCCGGTGCACGCGCAGAAATGGACGCCTCCTCCTCCGTCTTCCGGGACATCGATGTTTCAAGAAAACCACATCATGTAAGCTACTATGCCTCGCGCGCATGCAGTTAATTACGGATGCGATGCGATGCAACCCGATCGAACGAACAGCATGGTGGAGTGAGAGTGACCCCCTGTCGCTGACAGGTCGCCGTTCTCGAGGACGACGGGGCACAACGCGGGTTCGACGCGGAAGGCGTTCCCGGAGTTCTCGCTGCCGGAGTCGTCGGACATATCCTTCATCGGCTCCGCCCCCCGCAGGAGTACGGAGCGGTACCCGCCGCGGCTGTCCAACGGGTCGGACGGCCTCGACCACCACCAGCACAGCTTCGAGGCGTCGCGCACACCCAACCGGTGGGGCGACTCGTTCGGCAACGACAGCACGTCGCACTCCCAGACCAGTACCTCCTCCTGGTGCTCCCAGCCTTCGGACGAGATGGAGGCGGAGATGAAGCGGCTGCGGCTGGAGCTGAAGCAGACCATGGACATGTACAGCACGGCGTGCAAGGAGGCGCTGAGCGCGAAGCAGAAGGCCATGGAGCTTCAGCGGTGGAAGATGGACGAGGAGCAGCGGTCGCAGGAGACGCGGCTGACGGAGGAGTCGGCCATGGCGCTCATCGAGCAGGAGAAGGCCAAGGCCAGGGCGGCCATCGAGGCGGCCGAGGCGTCGCAGCGGCTGGCGGACTTCGAGGCGCAGAAGCGGATTAGCGCGGAGATGAAGGCGCTCAAGGAGGCCGAGGAGCGGCTCCGGTCCATGGCCGCCGGGGCGCGCGAGTCGGTGGTCCGGTACCGCAGGTACACCATCGAGGATATCGAGATCGGCACCGACCACTTCAACGAGGCCCGCAAGGTGGGCGAGGGCGGGTACGGCCCCGTGTACAAGGGCCACCTCGACCACACGCCCGTGGCCATCAAGGTGCTCCGGCCCGACGCGGCGCAGGGGCGGGCGCAGTTCCAGCAGGAGGTGGAGGTGCTGAGCTGCATCCGCCACCCCAACATGGTGCTCCTCCTGGGCGCCTGCCCCGAGTACGGCTGCCTCGTGTACGAGTACATGGCCAACGGCAGCCTGGACGACTGTCTGTTCCACCGCGGCGCCGGCGGGCCGGTGCTCTCGTGGCAGCACCGGTTCCGCATCGCGGCGGAGATCGCGACGGGCCTGCTGTTCCTGCACCAGGCCAAGCCGGAGCCGCTGGTGCACCGCGACCTCAAGCCGGGCAACATCCTCCTGGACCGCAACTACGTGAGCAAGATCAGCGACGTCGGGCTGGCGCGCCTGGTGCCGCAGTCGGTGGCCGACAACGTCACGCAGTGCCACATGACGTCGGCGGCGGGCACCTTCTGCTACATCGACCCGGAGTACCAGCAGACAGGCATGCTGGGGGTGAAGTCGGACGTCTACTCGCTGGGCGTGATGCTGCTGCAGATCGTGACGGCGCGCCCGCCCATGGGGCTGACGCACCACGTCGGGCGCGCCCTGGAGCGCGGCACCTTCGCCGACCTCCTCGACCCGGCCGTCCACGAGTGGCCCATGGAGGAGGCGCACCGCTTCGCCGAGGTCTCCCTCCGGTGCTGCGAGCTCCGGCGCAAGGACCGCCCCGACCTCGCCACCGTCGTGCTCCCCGAGCTCAACCGCCTGCGCGCGCTCGGCGAGGACAACATGGACTCCTGCATGGCCATGAGCATGAGCGGCCGCGGCGGTGGCTGCTTGTACAGCTCGTCCACCTTCCACAGCAATCCCTACTCGCAGCCACGACACGTAATTAATACCATTCCTAGTTCCTCCTTGCAGAATCGTTTCCTCTGATGGCTAATCGAATCCATTCCATTGTCTATGTGCAGGACGCGGCGAGCGATCCGACGCGGCCGCACCACGTCTCGCACCCGAGCCAGTCCGCCATGCCTACACGGAGGTCCAACTACAACTGATCGAAACGCCATGGAGCAGCTCAACAGTGAGCACTGGTGGTTATTTCTCCTGGTTTGGTTAGCTGAACTGAATATTTTCTCCTGGTCTGAATAGACTGACTGCTGTTAAGCGATGCAGCTGGCATAAGCAGAGCGTGCCATGGCAATGCCAATCGTGCATTGTCGGCAGTAAGTTGTAACTGTGCAGTGTGTATGGAGTTTTTTCAACTCAAAAGAAAGAAAAAAAGATGTGAATTCTGTAAACAGATTGAAATTTCATCAAAAGACAAAAAATGGGTACTGACGGCTCGGTTCCTCCCGAAAGTCGTTCTGAAATTCGCACTGCATGACGTGTAACGCTGGCTGTCGGGTGACCATTTCGTTCATCAAGGTCACACTGGTCGCAGCAAAACAGGACATTCGATCTGTCTGACGCCGACGGGGCAGCAGCCTGGACTGGAGGCACACGGTTTGCGGACATTTCCTGAAGCTGTCTGTCCTGGAGCGTGCAAAGCACAAGTTGGTGTTGTGCTCCGTGATCGTGTCGCCGAGGTCATTGCTGATCCTGTCCCCATGGTTTGCCACGCCTTGCCTCGTCCCCGTCTCAGTCGCCGGCCGGCCTGTCTGAAACTCTGAACTCAGAACAAGCAACAGCCAGGCGCTGTCAACATTCGCCTCACGCAGGGGGGAGCGTAGGTTCCACGTATCTGAGGTCGGCAAAAGCCAAGACGCGGACGCGACCCCTGCCGGCCGGTCCGTCCGCCGGTGCGCGCGCCCAGAATCTTTCACGGCTTTGTTCTCCGCGTGCTGGGGGAGCGGAGACACGGTGACCGTGGGACGTGCCAAGCGAACACGCTGCGCCCTCCGTGCCTACCGCCTAGAACGGTGACCAGACTACACCCCTTGTTCGGGCCGCCGTGTAGGTAGCACACCGCTGTGGCGGCCGGGGGGCATGTGAGCTCCAGAGCCTGGCCTGGTCCCCCGGCCTGTGCCCTGCCGGGCTGCCACAGTGCCATGCCCCGCCCGTGCGCCGACCGGCGCGGCTATATATGGCCAAAAGGCCATGTCTCTCCTGGTCTTGTGACTAACCTTCGGCCTAAGCACGGCACTATAGGCCGTAATTCATGCCGTGTCGGCTGCAAAGCGCGGTCAGATCTGTGGGCCATGCCGCCCCAAAGCCCGGTGACCTTAAGCATCTC